GTCCGCCATCTTGAAAATTTTAAAACAGCCAAAGTTATATCTGAACGTAAAATTTTCCGCTTTTTCATTTTCCGGTGTCAAAAAGGGGGGTTTCCATTTTAAAAAAACCACTTCCGGTTGAAGTAACCCACTTTCGGTCAAAATCAAAAGTTGAAAGGTACGCCATTTTGGTTCCCCCTCGAAACCCTACAACTTTTATATGAAACTTTTTTCGATTCCTGGCCACACAAACGAGTTATTGGAGGTGATAGATTCAGATGACTCACCCTGTATATTGTCAATATTAAGATTATTTAATAGAAAGTTACTATTTAGTATGCGTTCAAGTGCACGATGTAAATCAGGCCAATGTGATTAAAAGATCAATAACTTGTTTAAATTGATAGTTCCGATTTAACCGCCGGCACGGTGGGACGTGTCTGAACAGGTTCAGACCAGTGATTTTTGGAAGTTGCCTTGGAACCTGCCAGGGCCTTGTTTATTCATACCTCATTTAAGGATTGGAGAATGGCATATGGGGATAACCTTTTTTCCCGGAGCCATTACAGAACAGAACAGAACAGAATTTGTTTAAATTGTGGGAAAGCAGCAACGATTGACAAGTGAAAAAAAATAAAAAAAAGTTAAAACAATATATAACTTGCATATTTTTCGGACTCCCCTGATTGATTATCAATGTTGGAGTTAAAATAAATATTTTTACCAAAAGAGCTGCAAAAAAATATCAAAATTCGAAAAAGGCCTTATTGTACATAATTACCCGAAAAAGAACCAGGAATATTGAAATACTAAATAGTACACCGATCGTGCCTGATGGCACTTCCACAGCAGCGCTTGAGATCGATATTTTGGCCAAATACATGATTTTTTAATATTTAATTAAAATTATTTGGATGACTCACAAACTTTTTTAATGATACTTCATAACTCTTCATATGAAATACAAATGATACCATACCGAATCTTTGTTTAATTTACCTCCGGTTATTGGGTGCATTCAGAAGACACAACGGTTACACAACGGTTGAGTAATTAGTCAACGTAATTGGTCTAAAGTTAGGGATCTAACAGTAAGGACCAATAATCACTGACCGCTCACTGATCAGCTATGTTTTCTGAACGCAACCATTATTTCCGGCTAAATACATGGTCCAAAAAAGAACAATTAATTACAAGTAAGAGAATGACTCACAAATCTTTTCAATTGCACTTCAAAACTCTTCATACGAAATACAAACGATTTAAAAGAATAGTTTTCCAACCGGAGTTTTTTTCTGGTCAAGTACATACGAATGTCGGAAACGATTGCGACAATCTTTGTGCTCAGGCCCTTAGCCGCCGTTACGACAAGATATGTTCGACCAAGTTCAAACCTTGTGATTTTTTTGGAATGTGCCTTGGAATTTTCCAAGACTTTACTCTCGAAATATATCATAAATCAGAATAATAGCGTTGGGGTATAACTCTTAGAGAGGCCTGAAGCCAAATATTGAAGTTGAAGTTACTCAGAGCGTTGTAAGCGTCAAAACAAACGCAGCCTTAGTTAAAAAAATAATAGTAAGAAATAACAGATTTATTTTCGTAATTTTTTCAGAACGTATGAATAAAACTGTAAATTATTGAAACTACAAAAAATTGCATTTAACTTAAAACAGCTCTAATTAATTTAAATTTGAATAAAACTAAGTGAAATTTTGGTTCCAGGTAACATTAGAAATAATATTGAAATTCTGAGTAACATAATTACTCAGGATAATAAATTAATTATATATAATATTATACAATAAGGTATTTTGTAATTAATTATATAATTCCAATACAACTAAAACGTTTGTCGGTTGCAAAATATGTGTGTGTACATAGGAAAACTTATTTTTACTGTTAAAGTTTTAAACAATTATAATTCTTCTAATGAGATGTTCATCATATAAAATGGATATAGAAAAAATAGACTTAATCTGACATATAAATATATATGTGTATACTATATGGAAAAAACATACATAAATAATATATCCATTATATGTAATGTGGAAAAAGCGTACATATACGCACATATACGCACACACACACATATTTAGAGTTCAGTTTGAAATTTAAACTGTATCAATTGTCACAGACTTTACTGTGTAAGTCGCGAATTGGACAATATTTTAATTGGACATAGATCTTATGCAATATGAAACCATGTGCAATTTGTTACTTTTTATTATATTTTAAAATATGCTTTAAAATGGTCACGTTCAGCAAAAAGAACAGTTAATTAGCGCTTTGTGCTACGTTGTCAGCTTTGCAATTTTTTACTGAACGACATCGATAGTTTATACTTTTCCGACATGTTTATTAAGCAGTCGTCTTAGTAAACATTTTGGAGAAGCGTAAACCCTCGATGTCGTTTAGCAAAAAATCTTATAACAGTTTCACAGCTGCTGATAGCGCAGCGCAAAGCGGTGATTAAGTTGTCTTTACTGCGGGAGAGAGAGGAACGTAATCAGTGTATATTATTAATAGTTAAACAACGTGTAACTAGTATATATTATTATCTGAAGAAAACTGTCACAGGATTAATATCTAAATATTTTACTTCTCACGTTTTTTAAAGTTATACTTCAAAAATTAGCTTTTAAACTTGATCGCACATTGCATAATTATGTCCAATATTAATTAAAATAATATAACATTTACAAGATTCGTAGATTCGACATTTTTGGCGATGAACTTTTACAACTTTAAATCAAATCAGCATATTCATAGCCGAAAAATAGCCATCTGGCAAACACTACTCAAGAAATATGAACGATTCAACTTTATGAACGAATTAACAATGATTACGTATAAGCAATTATTTGCGAATTTTGGTAGAAAATTTGCTAAATGATGTGTATAATAGCGCAGACATATAACGATTCTCGCAGACCTCTGTCAAAGGTTTGATATAAGGCCAATATCCGCGTGATCACAGTGTCTGAAAATTCGCGCGGATTTTTCGATCTATACGAAAAATCAGGCGCTATAATTCGACTAGAATCCATTTCAATCGGTATCCACATCGTCCATAGAAGTAGGCTCAACAGGAAGTGTAGATGACGGGACTCCAAGGCGAGCATGTACGCGTTTGTCACTATCAGATACTTCCTCACCGAGCAAGAAACCCTCGTGCACTTCTTCCTCGCGCGCTGGCTCCGGCGGCGCTAGAACGTTTTGACCGTGTTGCTTCAGGTGATCCTTAAGGGCGAATGCTCGACCATACGATGCACCACATATGTAACAGCTATATTTGAGATTGTTGTCTTTCTTGTGCGTCTGAATATGTGATCGAGCAGCATAGAGCGATGCGAATGGTCGCGAGCACTCGGTGCACCGAAACGGTTTTGTGTGACTATTTTTGTGGCCAGCAAGTTGCACTCGCGTCTTGAACGTCTTCGGGCAGTACGGGCAAGTGTAGGCACGCGCATCGCCGTGCGTCAACATATGATGATTGTAGACGGAAGAGGCCTTAAAACGTTTCCCACAGTGTTGACAAGTATAGGGTCGCACACCCGTGTGTGTACGCATGTGTAAGGTCAGACAGTAAGATACGCGAAAGGTCTTGCCACAAACCTACCATCAAACAGAGATGTTTTCGTTTTTTATTTTTACTATTTTGCTCCTTTTTTACTTAGCACAATAATCATCGACGAAAAAGAAAAATTTCTAGGAATTTATTAATAAACAAGAAAGAAATTTTATGTAATCAGTGCATTTTTAATAATTTTACGTTTCCTATAACGGTAAAACTTGCTAATATACAAATTGTATATTTTTCAGTCCTCTCAGTTCTTCAGTTTTTATTTTCCCCTTTTTACATACTCAAATTTATCATTATATATATATATATATATATATATATATATATATATATATATATATATATATATATATATTTCTTAGACTATTATATATATATATTTTTTTTTTTACTAGGATAAGAGATATTAAAGTTTCGTCTATTTTATGTTCAAAAATTTCAAATTATGTATTTGCGTCTTGATTGTTTAATATTTAACAAAAGTAATAATATAATTACATACACATACCTCACAAGCGTGTGGCTTCTCTCCGGTGTGAATTCGTTCATGCTTAACTTTTTCGTGAGGTCTAGTAAATCTACGACCACAATGCTGACATTGATAAGGTTTTTGACTTTCGCTAGCTTCTACCGTCACCGTAGCCGTCGTAGTCAAAGTCGACGTCGCCGTCGTTGTTGCTATTGCTCTCGTTGTTGTTGTTGTTGTTGTTATTGTTGTAACTGTAGTCGTAGTTGTGGTTACTAACGTCGTCGTTGTCACTGCTGCTGTTTCTCCAGCAGTTGAGACTGAAATCAAGACGGATGAAGTGGGTGACTGCGGAGGCACCAGCTCAGTGTGCACCGCTGCATGCATCGCTAAACTGTCCGAGGAATCAAATTTTCTGTTACAGACAGCGCACGTTACCGAATCGCCCGTGTGCAGCGCCATGTGTGCATTTTTGTAAGATTCAGAAAAAATTTTACCTGTAAAATATCAATATTTAAATTAATTCTGAATATTTGAGAGCTAAAAAGATTGCTTAAGTTAGTGTGATCGAGTCGTCTTATTACCGCATTCGGGGCAAGTAAAAGTTGCTGAAGGAGTTCCTTCGGGTGCATCGACGTGCCTAGCCCTCACAGGAGCGTGCATTCTCGAATGTAATCGCAAGCTTTTATGAGAACAGAACTCTGTGCCACACGCTGTACAAATAAACGTTTTTTGGCTAGGATCGGCCTTATTTTCATGTACTTTCGTATGAAGCTGTAAGGCCTTAGGAGTCGCGAAGCTTTGATCGCAATATTCGCAGCGATTGTTACCATGTAAACAGGCGTGCACTCGAAAGTTTCCTAATTTCGAGAACTGTTGCGAGCATTGATTACACTTGTACATTCGCAATGGTGCAGCCGCCAGGCGTTTTTCCCGTACCTGCGCAGCATCATATACTAATCCTTATCCAACATTTTAGGCGAAAATTTCCTTCCAGTAATCAAGCGTAAATCGCACCTTAATGCCCTCCACATTTGAGAAGAATTTCTCAATCATCGGAGCCTTCGCTGATTGTGATGTCGCGACTTGAATTGGCATCTGGTCCCAAAATCTCTCAATCTGTACTACTTTCCTTGTATAGAGCCTACCTTCGCTGTCGATGCACTCCTCCGTGCGCAGCGTATTCATAGTTTGTCTTTGCCGTGTATTAACCATATTTCCCGAGCTTTCAGGTACTGTAGATATTGAACTTACAGGTACTGTCTTCGTCAGGTCATCAAATTGCTCCGCCATTTCTAGTAGGACTTCTTGGCCGTCGTGAAATTGCTTAATATGCTCCAAGACAGAATTAAAACTCGTGTCACAGCTGGTACAGCTGTATACAGCATCTGACTCCATCTGTGAAAAAAACAAGATTAAATGTTGTAAAGGCAAATCATAAAGCTAAAAATGATTTTTATCAAAGTTGATACTGTTTCTTACATAAAAATTTCATCTCTTAATTATATAAAAGGTTATAGTCTTAATGACTTAATTTGATATCTTTACCCCGCACAGTTCCTGTTTGACACGCAAAAGACCAGCTTCATCAAATTCCCCTACGTCGTTTATGCGATCTACATCAATGAAGGTTGTAACGTCACTATCCAAGAGTTTGGAATTTTCTGATAACACAGCAACCATACTCTTATCTAGTGATGTCTCTTTGCATTCTGCAACACAACTCGATACAGGTATAGCCACTAATCCTTGAGATAATTGTGGTTTTCTTTGCTTTCCGCCACTAATATCACAAAAACTTTCAGACATTTTGAAATCCAGAGAATTTTGATCTGGTTGCGTTTCATCCAAGTCCAGCTTTTCTATAACTTTAATTTCTCCTAATATTTGTATTAAAAACAATGTTTAGTTTTTGAGATATTTATGTAGCAAAATAACAGTTTTACGAACCATTCTCATCTACTTGTATTGTCTGCGGATCACCAACTATAACAATTCCAGTGTCATTTACAGTTGCTAGAAAGCTTCGATTCATCTGTTGTACCTTAACATCCTAAAATTAATCATTACAGTTACAAGATATAAGTAATGCTAAATTAGCGATTACTTTTCATAATTTTAAATATATGATAAAAATATAAAATTCTAAAGTTAAATTATTTAAAGTTAAGAAATCATTTGATATTGTACAGTATAATAAAATAATAATAAAACATAATATAAACCTTTTATACATATTTTACTGGCACTAAGAATATTAAATTTAAATTTTAATATTATTTTTTTCTAATTGCAAACTAAAAATTACAATATTGTATTATATTTGAAGTATCCTTTTTGTTTAAAAACATTGATTTAATTTTCAACAAATTTTTACTCAGTTTTCAAGGTTTTTAAAAGTCTCAAGTTTTATATGTGTTAAAGATTGTTTCTCAAAATTTTAAAAGATTTCAACTCTAAATTTTTCATTGCAATATTTCTTTACCTTGCTCTTATCTGTACTAACCGCTAAAATATTTGCTCTATTTTCTGACTCCTTGCAAACTTTTCGAGCTGTGTCCATTATGACTTCAGGTTTTATCTTGCGCTGCAAACCTTGTTGACATTTGTCTAAATGTTGAATGAGTGCCGTCACAGAATCAGAACGTTGCGAACAGCCAGGACAATAAAGATTGTCTGTTATACTTAATAAATGGTACTTTAAGGATTGAGGGTTGTTGAAAGTTTCGCCACAACACATCGGGCATACAAGATTTAATGAGCCCATAGTTTACTTTGTCAACTCGAAGTTAAATTCAAACCGCTTCGCGCTGTTGCAAAAGCTTCTTATTCCAGGTAACCTAACCTAGCAAGAGACGTTGGAAAAAATGTTCGCTATCGTCAAAATTAATCCGTAAAAATCTCATCTTGTTTGTGAACAATTTGCCAATTTTTCACCAAAATGACACACTCATGTGAAACGAATTCTTTTTTTCCGAAGCAAATCACAACACTGCAAATTAGCCACGGCAATAACAAATTCACTAGAAACAAACTTCAGCGCAAACAAATGCCACACATAACAATTGTGAAGTTAGAAAATTGATAAGTGAATCGCGAAGTCGGCCATTATAACACACATGCTCACGTGACCATCCGTGAGTTCCCAGTTTAAATCCCGTTTTCGTATTGCCTTTTACATACACCTTAAATTTGTATTTGACATATTTATCTTTTCTATAGAATTTATCTATTGCTTTCTTAATAAAGTTGTTATTAAATTACACGTTTACTTTATCTGCAATTCCATTATTTCTTATTTATCTCTAAGAAACTTAAATTTTCAATGTTTAGTTAAAATATAAAAAATATCTTTCTTTGTCATATTTCGATTGAATATTTTATACTTCATACTTTTTTCTATATTCATATATTTACTTAATATATAATATATACAAACAAATGACATTTACGTATTGATTTAATTGTAAGCTTTAGAAACTTATCTGTGAATGATTTTTTTATATAATAATCATTATAACTTGATATATATTTTAAAAGAATTCCAGATTTTCAACTATTCACATAAAATACTAATTACTTTTTCTATTTACATGTTTACAAAGTTTGAACAAGACAATTAAAGGTAATTCTTAAATTAGTGGAAAAACTTATACTCTAGTCAACATGTTCATGCTGAGCATTGCTTTCACGCCAAGTGTTCTGAATAACCTCGACGAATTGCTGCCACCACCTACTGCGTGACATGAAATATAACATGCAAGCAATATTGAAAATCCATGACAGAACAAGACAATAGTCTGTCTCATTAGAAGGTACATTTGAGACTGGTCCGATGAAATCTGCCGAAGTAACATATAATGAACCGTTTGGCTGCAAATTCGTCAAGTGAGATGTAAATTTGGCAAACGATTCCAAAGTATAAATTGTGTCGTTGAATTTAGCAATAGGTTTGCCATTATGAACCAGCATCAATGTTGGCACCCCAACTATTCCATATTGTGCATTAAAACTAAAAATAATATTAATTTTTAGTTACTATATTCTCAACTAAATACTAAAAAAAAAATAGCAGATCATAGAGTGTAAATTTTTTTTACAAAATTTCTTAATTATTTTTACCTTTGATGTTTTATAGCATCAATAGCCACAGCTTTTATATGAGGAAATGATCGAGGTATAGCATTGAAATGTGGTGCAGCTTGACTGCTAAAGACACACGATCTAGCGTAAAATAACACTAAAATACATGTTCCTGGCAAGTGCTTACTCTCTTTGCCGTTTCTTGAACGATTTGATGGACCAGGTTCCAAAATCAATAACTCCATAAGCCTTGTTGCGTTAACAATCTATGATACATAAAAAGGATCATAAAGATCACTAATAAATCTTTTAAATGGAGTCAAAAATCTTGGAGCAGCTTATTTATTCATGAATTATTAATTTTATATTTATAGTTAAATAGAACAAAGTAAAAAGATTATTACTGTATTTTGTTATTCCATATAGAAAACTTTTTATCTACTTCAATGTGATAATTAACTGCACCAAAACTTTTGTCTCAGTTCACACACAATAATAAAATATTATTTTCTGTAAAACCTCAACAGGACCATATATCTTCTCCAATGAACAATTAACTTTAGTAATATTTGTTGAAATAGCACTGGTAATATTTGTCGTTTCTTCAGCACTTGTTTTTATATTATTTTTATCTTCACCTGCATAAACTTGTTCACTTTCTTTTTGATTGAAAATATTTTTAAGTTTAAGTTGTGTCACAAATTCTTCTGCGACTTCTTTGCCATATATAGTATTAACTAAAAAAATACAATCATTAACTTTTATATAAGATTATATAATTGTCAAAAATGAATATTTAAAGATAAATAAGGATACAATTATCATATTTCTTATAAATATATAAATCTGTATTAAAAATAGTATATTTAAATTGACTCTTACCAAAAGTTAAGAAAAATATGATATTGTATATAGAATTTATTCCTAAGGAACACATCTTGTATATACAATATGGTTTGCATCAAAAAACTATATAAATAAGAATAGCACAGTAGATTATATATTCACAGTATTTATTAATTCCAACCTGGTAATTTATTGAAGTTCTGTAGGAACAGGTTTATCTATAATATAAAAATAAAGATTTACAACCTAACCTATTGAATAGAATATTACTAATTATATACTAATAACCTCTAACAATGTAATTAATATTATTTTACGTATTATACTTTAGTACTTTATATGTATATATATATATATACATATCATACATATATATATATATAATATATATATATATATATATATACATACATACACACATTAGGATTGCATTTTAAAATGTCCTTTTTGAGGAAATTTTACTCGATATCCTATAGTATATGTAACATGAGATCTGTTCTTTGTAGCTACACTGTTGTAGCTACACTGCTGAACTAGTGCAATAAGTTAGAGTGAGAAAACATATATTTGTCTCACTTCAATATATTGCACGAGTTCAGCGTGCAGCTACAAAGAACAGGCCTATGAACTATAAGTATTATAAATAAAATTTCCCTCAAGAAGGACGTTTTAGAATGCAATTTGGATAAAATATCACCTTACCAATATTTTTAATTAAACCAAAACTTAAAATTTTTACCTTATATAATATTCTATAATTTATTCAGATACTATCACTTGTAAATTGTTACATCTCAGTTCAATGATCTTATACCTCCTTTTATATATTGAAAAACAGGTAAATATAAGATGGTTGTTTTTACGTTATGTTGCGTTTATACCATGGATGTAAGAATATAAGGATGGAGCGTAAGCTGAGTTTATTGCACAGATGTCTATATATACTAGATCGCTACGGGTGCGTTCAGATGGAGAAAGAAATAGCGTAACGAACCTTGGGTGGGACCCGATTGACCACGATACGATTGGACATAGATTGTAATGATTGGTTCGACCTAGTAATTCACTAGATAATTCTTTTCATCGGTTGGTTGTATCCAATCGTACCGTGGTCAATCGAGACGCTCCCCGGAACCTTTGACTATGGCTGCGTTCCGAAATAGTGCTGACAGTACTGATGGGTACTTTCCAGTACCCAGTACTTCCAGTACTGGGTACAGTAGTTTCCAGTACTTTCCAGTTGCGTACACTGGAAGTTACACAAAACTAGTTTATTGGTTGCATATTATCTTACAAGATATTTTAGATAATATGTGACCAATAAACCGGTTTTGTGTACGTGTGTGTCAAAATGTGTTAAGCAATTGGAAAGGACCCAGTATTGATACTGAAACCAGCCATATTAGCCTAGTTTACATCGTGCACTTGATACGCGTACTAACTAGTAACCTTCTATTAGATAATTTTAATAGCATGGTTTACATCGTGCACTTGATACGCGTATTAAATAGTAACTTTCTATTAGATAATCTTAACATCAACAATGCATGTTTATAGCGACGCATTCTATAAATACAATACGTTTCGTTGATGAGTATTATACCAGCTTAATACACTGTTGTTTATATATATCATCGATATTAAGATTATCTAATAGAAAGTTACTATTTAGTACGCGTATTAAGTGCACGATGTAAACCAGGCCATTGTCGTTCCAAAATTGTTAGGCAGTAGCAACAGTGTAGGAAAAGGGAACGTCCCGATTGACCACGATTGGACATAACCAACCGATGAAAAGAATTATCTAGTAAATTACTAGGTCAAACCAATCATTACAATCTGTGTCCAATCATATCGTGGTCAATCGGGTCCCACCTGTAGGAAAACGGAACGGGAGCGGTGCACTTGGACACGGTGCATTTGGACACAGCCAATCACAGCACCGTGTGATTAGAGACATTTGTAGGGTCCCTTGGAACAGCGACTTGTGATTGGACTGTGTCCAATTGCCCCGTGTCCAACTGATGTACACCCGACGGAACGGTAATCCAGAATGTAGACTTTACGAATCCAATAAGTCTACGCGGATGTCGACTTTACGAATCCAATAAGTCGACGGAGCGGTATCGAGTAATGTCGACTTTACGAATCCAACAAGTCGACGGAGCGGTGACGAGGAAGGTCTAGGATACGGTGTTCTAGGCAGCGGTGTTCGCGAGGTGCTGCTGCTGTTGGAGTCTGAGCTTTGTTCAGCGGAGTGCCTCGGAAGACTGCTTCTCACTGAGCTTTTCGCGCGGTCTTTTATACTACTTTTAACCTGATATCGTGTTGTGATATTCGCGGTCGGTCGGCGGTGTTTACATTGGTTTGTCGCGTGTTCGGTTTCGTGACGAGTCGTTTGATTTTATCGTTCTTACGGTTCCTGTTCTATTTGTCTTACGAACGGCTCGTTACATATTCACTTAATTAACTTTAATCACTTAAATCTGGTTAAATCGCTAGAAGTTGAACTGTGTTGAACTTTGAGCGTTTATCTGCTTTATTCGTCTTTTTAGCGATAATTAATGGAGTGGTGGTAAACACCAGCTATTATTCGTTAAAAGTTGGACTGTGTGTCGAACTTTGAGCGTTTATTCGCTACATTCGCCATTTCGGTGAAAATTGATGGAGTGGGGTGAAACGCCAGCTTTTATTCGCTGCGTGAAATCGCACCTTTATAGTTAGCTAGAGTAGCATAGCGGATAACGTGAGCATCAGGGAGTTGATTTTCAAAAAATGTTAGTTATTAATAAGTTTAATCTCATATAGTATGTTTATACCAAACGTTTAATACGCGTACCAATTAATAATTTTATGTTGAATTATTTTGATCTCCACGATGTATATAAACAACTTCATATTGAAGTAATGCAATATTGATAGAAACACGTATCGTATTAATTAAATATATTGCGTCGCCGAAATTAGAATAATTAGATATAAACTTACTAATTGATACGCGTATTAAACGTTCGGTATAAACATACTATATTATTAAACTTATTAATAATTAACATTTTTTTGAAAATCAACTACCAGATGCTCATGTTATCCGCTATGCTACTCTAGCTAACTCTAATGGCTCCTGCACACAGGATGCGGTAATGCTTGCCGCGCGGCGGAAGTTCGCGCGACAGCCAATCAATATGCTGCTTCCCGTAATAATCTTCTAGCTCTTACGTGCGTCCTGTATGTAGGCTGCGTTCCGAAATTCACTGCCAGTACTGAAATTCTATAGTTCATGTCACGTATACTATAGAATTTCAGTACTGGCAGTGAATTTCGGAACGCAGTCGTAGGAGCCATAAAGAATTAATCCAGCGGCACACGGTGCTTGTTTTCGTGCTGGATTGCTTGCTGGATGGAAATACTCTGTTTTGATTGGTGTATTTCCATCCATTTTCAGAAATGCACCAATCAGCAAGCAATCCAGCATGAAAACAAGCATTGTCTGTCGCTGGTTTTAATGTGCACTAAGTGTGAAAGTGTAAAAAGTTCAATTAACACGAATAAACTTATTAGATATTAGCTATTTTTAGACAATTCACACATTCAAAAAACGTCCTAAGAATACTCTGATGACGTCCCTCCGTCCTGAAAATGTCTTCAGAAAGTATTTTGGAAAATTTCTGTTGTTTGAAGTGCACTAGTGTACAACGAACATTAGGTGTAAAAGTGTGAAAAGTACAAGCAACTCGAACAAACCTAATTAGAGTTAAGCCCATTCTACAATTGCGTGAACGTGGTTGTAAGTGGTTGTATGTGATTACGACAACCAATCAGAATAAAGCAAGCAGTAAATAAAACATTCGGAATGGTTGACTCTTACGATCACGACTACGCTTACGCAATTGTAGAATGGGCTTTAGAGTTAGTTCCACTAGGGCCGAAAATTATGATAGGCACGACCATCTAGTACTTTTGTAGTTTATGACTTCTTATGGCTCCTGCACACAGGACGCGGTAATGTTTGCCGCGCGGCGGAAGTCCGCACGACAGCTAATCAATATTTTGTTTGTCCATAAGAGCTAGAAGGTTATTACGGAAAGCAGCATATTAATTGGCTGTCACGCAAACTTCTGCCGCGTGGCAAGCATTACCGCGTCCTATGTGCAAGAGCCATAATTGTCGTAAACACCCATAAACACCCAATGTTGTCTGGGGTTTTTGATATGTTGAACGAACGATAATAAACGTTACATATGTTTATAAAACGTACATAAAATCAACATGTGCTTCCAGGGGTATTAATACTAATGATAGTGATAGTGAAGATGAACTGAAAGACATTACAAATGAAGAATTGGAATTGATTTATTTTTCGTTAGTGGTTGCTGAAACATGCGGAGAGACAGTGTTTAATAAAAAAATAAATGATTATGTTGAGAGAGTTGTTCCTGGTTATTCTAGAACAATAGTCAAAGAACATTTTCGGCGATAATAACTGGAAATTTTGGCTCAAAATAATATAAATATATATTTATTTTTACCGTTTCTTGCTTTTTCAGCATTTTCGACGTTTAGAAACTGCGTGACGAGTTCGTTTGATTCCTCGATTAGGATTGGAAACTCAAACAGAGGTTCTTGTGCTTTGGACGATTCCTCGGACATTTCCAATTTCTTATTTTACCGTACAATTTGAACAGATCGCATCAACCACATTAACTGCCTCTACTCGCTACTAGAAGCAGTCGATGCTAGAGATGCCCGATTCATGGGATGCTTTCCAGTTGCGTACACTGTGTTACACAAAACTAATTTATTGGTTGCATATTATCTTATAAGATATTTTGGATAATATGTGACCAATAAACTAATTTTGTGTACGTGGTGTCAAAATATGTTAAGCAATTGGAAAGCATCCTTAATCAATTCCATTTTTTCCCTAACAAATTTAGAGAAAAAGGGTTGTTCGTGCTGCTTGCATGTTTCATACTTTTCGCTTTTAAAAAGAGATGGACTCTAATCAGACGCTTGGAAGAAAAAATCGAGTTGGTTGTCTTGCTTTCGCTTCTTCCAAACATTCCAACATACTTTTGTCTGGTTTTAAATACGAAAAGTGTGAAGAATGCAAACAACACGAATAAGCGGAATTTTTGCGGAAAGAATCGAATCGATTCAGAATCGGACATCTCTAGTCGATGCGTTGAAGTAGTGGGAGTTCGAAGTAAATCTGGAAAATTCTATGCGCATCCAATGCGAGCCTATGTGCGCATTGGTAAAATTGGAATGATTTTCGATGCAGACTGTTACGTCCACGATAAATAACTATATAGGGAAATTTGAAAGTAGTGAAATCAGTGACTTACGTGGACGGTCAACAGAGTGATGACTCCGCTTTTGGGTCACTCTGCTTTTCACCGAGTTTACCCTGGGTCTCCGGAGTCTGGCGAAACGATTGATGAATCTGGCGAAAAATCAGCGGTGCTTGTTCTCCTGGCTCGGCCTCGGATGTTCCGACACTACGCGGGTTAATGCGGCCCGCGATTCAGAATTTTGATTTCGCAACGTTTGAAATATGAAGGGTAGGCAAAAGTAATTGCAACACAGTCGGATTTTACGACTAATTATAATATTCTGAATAGGTACATGAAAGCTACCAGAGACTAATTATGAGAAGAGAATAATTGCCTTCTCTACAAATGCGCGCGTTTTTATATGTCGCTTTGACGCTGAGAGTCGTTCTCCGATTGGTCCATGGAGTTATGACGAGGGAAGAGATTCATTCCTTTGCATGATGTCACCGCGTCGGTGTCCTAAGTGGTGTTTGGGATTCGGCTTTCATGCTCCTGTTTATGTTAACTTATCGCACTGAGCGATAACGGTTTCTTTAGATCGATCCATCGATTTCAAGACTCTCCACCAGCACGCAGCA